TTACACACTCCTTTATGTTTACCTTTTGTCATATTTGTGTGTGTTTTTGTATAGCAATAAACGGTTGTACATGACATTAAACATCCCTACACACTCCTTTATGTTTACCTTTTGTCATATTTGTGTGTGTTTTTGTAAAGTAATAAGTGGTTGTACATGACATTAAACAACCTTACACATTCCTTAATGATTAGCTTTTGTCATATTTGTGCGTTATTTTGTATAGTAATAAGAAGATGTGCATTACATTAAACATCCGTAAACACTTCTTTATGTTTACCTTTTGTCATATTTGTGTGTGTTTTTGTTTGGCAATTAGTGGTTGTACATGACATTAAACACCCTTACACACTCATTTATGTTTACCTTTTGTCATATTAGTGTATGTGTTTTGTATAGCAATAAGTGGTTGTACATGACATTAAACATTCCTGCACACACCTTTATGTTTACCTTTTGTCATATTTTTGTGTGTTTTTGTAAAACAATTAGTGGTTGAACATGACATTAAACAACCTTACACATTCCTTAATGATTAGCTTTTGTCATATTTGTGCGTTATTTTGTATAGTAATAAGAAGATGTGCATTACATTAAACATCCGTAAACACTTCTTTATGTTTACCTTTTGTCATATTTGTGTGTGTTTTTGTTTGGCAATTAGTGGTTGTACATGACATTAAACACCCTTACACACTCCTTTATGTTTAGCTTTTGTCATATTTGTGCGTGTTTTTGCCTAGCAAGAAGAAAATGTGCATTACATTAAACATCCGTAAACACTTCTTTATGTTTACCTTTTGTCTTATTTGTGTGTTTTTGTTTGGCAATAAGTGGTTGTACATGACATTAAACACCCTTACACATTCCTAAATGTTTACCTTTTTTCATATTTGTGCGTGTTTTTGTATAGCAATAAGAAGATGTGCATTACATTAAACATCCGTAAACATTTCTTTATATTAACTTTTTGTTATATTTGTTTGTGTTTTTTGTTTGGCAAAAAGTGGTTGTACATGACATTAAACAAACCCTTCACACTCCTTTATGTTTACCTCTTGCCATATTTGTGTGTGTTTTCGCATAGCAATAGTGGTTTTACATGACATTAAACACCCTTGCACTCCTACATATTTACCTTTTGTCATATTTGAGTGTGTTTTTGTTTGGCAATTAGTGGTTGTACATGACATTAAACACCCTTACACACTCCTTAATGTTTAGCTTTTGTCATATTTGTGAGTGTGTTTTGTACAGCGATAAGTGGTTGTACATGACATTAAACACCCCTGCACACTCCTTTATGTTTATCTTTTGTCATATTTGTGTGGGTTTTCGTTAGGCAATAAGTGGTTGTACATGACATTAAACACCCCTGCACACTCCTTTATGTTTATCTTTTGTCAGATTTGAGTGTGTTTTTGTTTGGCAATTAGTGGTTGTGCATGACATTAAACAACCTTACACACTTCTTTATGTTTACCATTTGTCATATTTGTGTGTGTTTTTTCATAACAATAAGTGATTTTACATGTGATTAAACACCCTACACACTCCTTTATGTTTACCATTTGTCATATTTGTGTGTGTTTTTGCATAGCAATAAGTGGTTTTACATGACATTTAACATCCTGCACACTCCGAAATGTTTACTTTTTGTCATATTTGTGTGTGTTTTTGTATAGCAATTAGTGGTTGTACATGACTTTAAACACCCCTACACACTCCTTAATGTTTACCTTTTGTCATATACGTGTGTGTGTGTTTTGTATAGCAATAAGCGGTTGTACATGACATTAAACACCCCATCACACTTCTTTATGTTTACCTTTTGTCATATTTGTGTGTGTTTTTGTTTGGTTGGCAAATAGTGGTTTACATGACATTAAACAAACCCTACACATTCCTCAATGTTTACTTTTTGCAATATTTGTGTGTGTTTTTGCATAGCAATAAGTGGTTTTACATGACATAAAACACCCTACACACTCCTTTATGTTTACCTTTTGTCATATTTGTGTGTGTTTTTGTTTGGCAATTAGTGGTTGTACATGACATAAAAAACCCTTACACACTCCTTAATGTTTACATTTTGTCATATTTGTGTGTGTGTTTTTGTAAAGTGTTGTGCTTGACAGTAAACATTCCTGCACACTCCTTTATGTTTACCTTTTGTCATATTTGTGCGTGTTTTTGTATAGCAAAAAAAAGATGTGCATTACATTAAACATCCGTAAACACTCCTTTATGTTTACCTTTTGTCATATTTGAGTGTGTTTTTGTTTGGCAATTAGTGGTTGTACATGACATTAAACACCCTTACACACTCCTTTACCTTTTGTCGTATTTGTGTGGGTTTTGTTTGGCAATTAGTGGTTGTACATGACATTAAACACCCTTACACACTCCTTTATGTTTACCTTTTGTCATATTTGTGTGTGTTTTGTATAGCAATTAGTGGTTGTACATGACATTAAACACCCCTACACACTCCTTTATGTATACCTTTTGTCGCATTTGTGTGTGTGTTTTGTATAGCAATTATTTGTTGTACATGACATTAAACACTCCTGCACACTCCTTCATGTTTCCCCTTTGCCATATTCGTGTGTGTTTTTGCATAGCAATAAGTGGTTATACATGACATTAAACACCCCTGCACACTCCTTTATGTTTACCTTTTGTCATATTTGTGTGTGTTTTTGCATAGCAATAAGTGGTTGTACATGACATTAAACACCCTTACACACTCCTTTATGTTTACCTTTTGTCATATTTGTGTGTGTTTTGTATAGCAATTAGTGGTTGTACATGACATTAAACACCCCTACACACTCCTTTATGTGTACCTTTTGTCGTATATGTGTGTGTGTTTTGTATAGCAATTAGTGGTTGTACATGACATTAAACACTCCTGCACACTCCTTCATGTTTCCCCATTGCCAGATTCGTGTGTGTTTTTGCATAGCAATAAGTGGTTGTACATGACACTAAACACCCTTACGCACTCCTCTATTTTGACCTTTTGTCATATTTGTGTGTGTTTTTGTTTGGCAATTAGTGGTTGTACATGACATTAAACACCCCTACACACTCCTAAATGTTTACCTTTTGTCATATGTGTGTTTTGTATAGCAATAAGACGTTGTACATGACATTAAACACCCCTACACACTCCTTTATGTTGACCTTTTGCCATATGTGTGTGTGTGTTTGTTTGGCAATAAGTGGTTGTACATGACATTTAACTCCCTTATTCACTCCTCTACGTTTCACCCATTAAGTTTAGTCTATCTTAAGGATATTTCTAAAGAGTTATCTACCTTAATTCATGTACACTTCCTTTACTTAAATAGAGTCTAACTATTCATTAAGTAACGTCTCACTTATGGATTTCACTATAGAGTTTTCATCCTTAGTTCAGGTATACTCACTTAAGTAACGTCTAACTCATGAATGTCTTAAAAGAGTTATCTCCTTTTATTCCAGTCTCCTCTATTCAGTTAAGTCTAACTTATGGATGTTTCTAAAGAGTTATCTCCCTTAATTCAGGAACGCCACCCTTAGAAAATTCGAACTTATGGATGTCTCTAAAGAGTTATCTCCCTTATTTCATGTCTCGTCAATTAAGTATTATATAAGTTATGTTTGTCTATAAAGAGCTATCTCCCTTACTACAGGTACACGACTACCTTAAGTTAAGTCAAACTTATGGATGTCTCTTAAGAGGGGCAAAAGATACCAGAGGGACAGTCAAACTCATAGATTGAAAATAAACTGACAACCTTATGGCTAAAAAAATAAATAGACAAACAGACAAATAATAGTACAGAAGACAACATAGAAAACTAAAGACTAAGCAACACGAACCCCACCTAAAACTTGGGTTGATCTCAGGTGCTCCGGAAGGGTAAGCAGATGCTGCTCCACATGTGGCACCCATCGTGTTGGTTATGATATTACATATCCGGTAAATAGTCTAATACGGTAGATCACATTTGTGAAAAGGAAAGGGTATTGTAGTTACGACATATGGAACATATCCGATATCATCTATGAAACGGTTATTCCATAACGGTCAACAATCTCGTGATGGCGTCCATAAAATGTACGAAGGGATGACTTCAAGTTCACCATTTGGAACTCTTGATTTAATAGCTTCCTTGTGAGCAGCAATCCTCTATCAAGGAAATCATGTTAGGAAATACAACCCCGGAATATCGTATCAATTGGGAGATATATACTCTACCTTAATTCAGGTACAATCCCTTAAGTAAAGCCTAACTTATGGATGTTTCTAAAGAGTTATCTCCCTTAAATCATGTCTCCTCCATTAAGTTAAATATAATTTATGTCTGTCTCTAAAGAATTATCTTCCAAATTAAAGGTACACTACCCTAAGTAAAGTCTAACTTATGGATGTCTCTAAAGAGTTATCTCCCTTAATTCATGTCTCCTCCATTAAGTAAATGGACTTGTCTATTCTTTTGATGATAGTGAAGGGAAAGTTGTTTTTCACATATATATATTAGTCCACTAAAACTCTACATATTCAAGGAAAGGGGTGTATATTTTGGTTCAAAAATACTTTTAAGATTTTTGCAGAAGAACTATATCATGTATATAACACACAGACTGGATGATTCAAAAATTGTGAAATCTAATTTGAGGATAATGAAAACGATAATAATAGTATTAATAAAAGTAAAGTCTAACTTAGGGATGTCTCTTAAGAGTTATCTCCCTTAATTCAGGTCTCCTCTATTAAGTAAAGTCTAACTTAGGGATGTCTCTTAAGTGTTATCTCCCTTAATTCAGGTCTCCTCTATTAAGTAAAGTCTAACTTAATGTCTCTTAAGTGTTATCTCCCTTAATTCAGGTCTCCTCTATTAAGTAAATGCTAACTTATGGATGACTTTAAATAGTTATCTTCCTTAGTCCATGTACACTTCCCTTAGTATAGTCTAACTGATTGATGTCTCTAATAAAGTTGTACTTACCGCCAGTAAAAATGAATAACCGATGAACTTCGTAATAAGCTTGTAGATTAACCTTCCACCACTGTGGCTTAGGTCCATTGGGATCCGGATCAGCACAACGTATAACAGGTTCCCAGTAAATTCCATTATTAGCATGATAAGACTTCATGTTACGATAAAGTGATGGTGGTGGTGAAGACATAGAGGTGGGCTTTCTTTTTGCAATGTCAACAAAATCTGAAATTCAATGAATTAACTTATTTATTGAAAAGCCCTTTGTGTCAATATTGGTCAATGGCCTAAACAAAACCAACCATAAACAAATACATCAAAATTACATATAAATCATGCATTATGAACTAACTATTTCATTCTACTTCATATTCTCAACGAAAACACCTACAGTTATGACAAATTGCCGATTAAAAAAATATGGCAGTTTATTTTTTTTATACTGACTTTAACAGCTCGTATATCTGCTCGACTTAGCGGGCTCGCTTAATATTTTTGCTTATAAAGTCATTTAAAAAAAAAAAAACATTATTCTATATGAATTGTATCGTCTGTTAATTCTTCATAAGAATGACCTATTTGCTCCATATAGGTATATCAATTTCAAATATTCAAACATCTCTGCAAGCCTCGAGTTTAAAATTTGAAAAGGTCACAAAATGGCTTAAAAGATTAACTTTAATCGTAAAACACCAAAAAGGTCTCAATTTGGTTCGTAATTGGGTCTATCTAAAAAGCCTAAAGGGTGCTCGAGGGTATATATCCATTTTTTTAAACATAGGATTTCGCTATTTTTTTCTCTAAATGAACTTTATCTTTATTTAAACTTTATTTATAGCAAAGTATACCGAATTTATACGAACGTCCTTTATTTTCAGACATGAAAATCATTTGTAATTTTGAAAACTGCAAGACAGTGTGCACAACGACAGCTTGTGCACAGATGACTCCCACCTTTCATAGATTATTACGTTTTGGAGAGACAAATATCAATTTATCAGAATTTTCTTGTAAAGCCTTAATTTTTATTGACAGAAGGGCAAACTCGTTACAAACAAAATGGCCAAGTATAGTTGAAAGAAATGAGATCATTAAATAAGCTGCCTTTCTAAATTTAAGTTCAATTAATTTAATGTTTATTTTACAAAAAAATTTAAAATGACTTATGAAAATGCATTCCAATATATATGTACAGTTGTGCAATTTAAATCTGGAGGATACCCTGAACTAGCTAAAAACATTTCACATGAAATTATCTATAGTAGAATAAGTATAAATTTGGTATTGGAAGATTGTAAAATAATATTTTCAATGAACAGAGACGTGCATGTAACAAGAATGTATAGTTACGACTATGGCGTATTAAATTATAGTCCTGGTACCTTTGATAACTATATACGACTATAGGAACAAACGTGTCAAAACCTGTATGTGTACATGTAATGTTTGTAAATTGTATAGGCATAAACGCACGATATATCATAATGATCAAGCTGTAATGAACAAATATCGCATTTTCTACTTAATTTTATTATACATAGCTGCAATGTTCCATATTTTAGGTTTACTTAATAATTGAACAGGTATAGAAGATAATCCTTCTTCAAGAAATATTAAACTACGAGCAATAATGAAATGTCAGGAAATCAATCCATTTTCTACAAGTTCTAGAAACAAACTTATAACCATCCTAGAGTTCCATTTTTGTTTATCATATTTAAGTTATACGCAAAATTTGGATGGTGATGATTTTGCACATATACTATTATCACATATTCTTTGGGCAGACCAAGAAGCAAATGATTTTAATACTTTCTTATAAAGTTCTTATATTTTATGCATAAATAGTAGGATTACAGCACCTTAGACAATAGTATTGTCAATCATTTAACAACAAATAAATAATACTGAATTACTTAAAATAAAAACATTAATATAAACTTTATGACTAACATGTCCAATTAAATATACAAATAGATGTGTCACTATGGTACTAATGTGTGTGTGTGTGAAAGAGAGAGAGAGAGATTTATTCCCTTACATATGGAGTACATAAGGCACAGATCTCCATGTGACTTATTGTCACGTGTTGGAGAACATTCAGAGACAGATCTCCAATAGAATTCATCAATATAAAAAGTTTATGGGTATTGGATTGCGGCCAACTGAAGGTTAATTATGCCAAAAACAATTAAAATTGTCGATAGAATTTACCAAAATTTAATTTAAAATAAAAATAATGTTTATTAACCCTTACCATGCGGATCCCGTCTTTTGACGGGTTTGACGTCGTCGTTCTCAGTGCGGAACCCGTCTTTTGACGGGTTGCACTGGCAATTTTCTGACCTTTGCAAAAACCTTTTAATCTTCGCCGAATCACAAAATTCTGAGTTAAAATTTGATTTGAGATTCTGATATATATGTTCATCATTCAATTTGAACCTTTGTAAGCCTTTAAAATAAACGAATTTATACTTTATTTTGCTTTTATGAAAAAAAAAATTGTTTTGGGCATGATGTAAAAAATCTAAAAATACCTTTAGGGAAGTCCCTTTCTTACTCGTTTAATTCTTGTTCATTTGATTATCAAAACTGTATGTCTGGGTAAAAAACGATTTTTTGACACGTGTAAAGTTCTTTTGCGAAAAAAATATGGAATGAGGTAGCAATACACAGTTAGAAGTTTAGTTTCGCATTATGGCCATGGTGAATTTTTTAAATATGAAAGTTTTTGTACAATAAAATAGATTTTTAGATAATTGAAGAATAATATAGCCTTCTTAGTGGGTTTATATGAACATTTAGATTGTTTTTAGCATGTTTTATAGGCAATTTTTCTGTTTGACAGTCCGTATTTTCCTATCCGTACCGCCCATAGGTTCATAAATTATTGTAGTATTTATCAACAAAGAATTTGCGCACGATCTTTTCAATTCAATTTTATGGAAAAACGAGCAGAAATGCATATGATTTTTTTTGGACCTCTTGATAGATATATGTCTGTGGATTCAGGAAAGGTATCACTGTAATTGATTGAAATTTTCCTTTGGACCAAATTTTGGAGACTTTTGTGACATGTTCACCCCCCTTTTATGCAATATTTTGTATCAAAGAAATGCAGATTGTTGCCATGGTTACACCCAAAAGAGATTATATTTCACCATTATAACCATTAGAAATCAAATCTATGGAAGATTCTCTTTCTATAAATATACACATGCATAACACAAATATTAAGCCTTATTTGTTAGAAAGGAAGAGAAAGAGGATGTTTAAAAATTATGAGTGTCAATTTTAAGTTTTTTTCCTAACTGTGTATTGATACCTTATGGCATTTGACAAATCACAGAATTGCTTATTTTTAGACAAATCATACCACAAATCTATTGATATTTAGATTATAGATACAATTATGAGGGAGAAACATCTTTTAGTATGACAATGTATGTTACTTTTGTTGTTTATTGTCCTTAGCAACCAATATAGACATTTTGACACAAAGACTTAGTTCGGTCATAAATTGATACTTTATTGGCTACCCCTTGGAAAAGAAACAATGCACGTTATGTAGAAACCTCAGAAGGGAACGCTTTATATTTTTTCATGCGACTAAATCAAATTTATTATTTTAGCAAGTATAAAGTCACAATTAAGCTTGAATTAAGTCTAAATTTGTTCCGGCTGTTATAAATTAATTCAGTATTTGCTAAATTTTAACCAAGGCTTTGGTATGCTAATACACAACAAAATTGACATTCTAAAGCCTTAAAATAGCTTTAACTTGTAAAATTTGTCTACTGTTAAGGTTAATTTAAGTTTTTAAACAAGAAAAGACAAGCACAGAAGGTATAGTTTTAGAAATTTGATTAAAAAAGGAGAATTTACACTTCGACATGGCATGTTTCACCAAATCACTTTTTTGTTGCATTTCAGTGTCAACTGCTAACCTTCATAAAATATTTATTTCTGAACCAATTTTCAAAACTAGCAGGCCAATTTACTCGTTTGAGCTAGCAGAACACAGAAATCCATTTAAAGTGGAATTGGAATAAAAATGTTTATCCTTAAGGTAGCAATACACAGTTAGAAGTTTAGTTTCGCATTATGGCCATGGTGAATTTTTTAAATATGAAAGTTTTTGTACAATAAAATAGATTTTTAGATAATTGAAGAATAATATAGCCTTCTTAGTGGGTTTATATGAACATTTAGATTGTTTTTAGCATGTTTTATAGGCAATTTTTCTGTTTGACAGTCCGTATTTTCCTATCCGTACCGCCCATAGGTTCATAAATTATTGTAGTATTTATCAACAAAGAATTTGCGCACGATCTTTTCAATTCAATTTTATGGAAAAACGAGCAGAAATGCATATGATTTTTTTTGGACCTCTTGATAGATATATGTCTGTGGATTCAGGAAAGGTATCACTGTAATTGATTGAAATTTTCCTTTGGACCAAATTTTGGAGACTTTTGTGACATGTTCACCCCCCTTTTATGCAATATTTTGTATCAAAGAAATGCAGATTGTTGCCATGGTTACACCCAAAAGAGATTATATTTCACCATTATAACCATTAGAAATCAAATCTATGGAAGATTCTCTTTCTATAAATATACACATGCATAACACAAATATTAAGCCTTATTTGTTAGAAAGGAAGAGAAAGAGGATGTTTAAAAATTATGAGTGTCAATTTTAAGTTTTTTTCCTAACTGTGTATTGATACCTTATGGCATTTGACAAATCACAGAATTGCTTATTTTTAGACAAATCATACCACAAATCTATTGATATTTAGATTATAGATACAATTATGAGGGAGAAACATCTTTTAGTATGACAATGTATGTTACTTTTGTTGTTTATTGTCCTTAGCAACCAATATAGACATTTTGACACAAAGACTTAGTTCGGTCATAAATTGATACTTTATTGGCTACCCCTTGGAAAAGAAACAATGCACGTTATGTAGAAACCTCAGAAGGGAACGCTTTATATTTTTTCATGCGACTAAATCAAATTTATTATTTTAGCAAGTATAAAGTCACAATTAAGCTTGAATTAAGTCTAAATTTGTTCCGGCTGTTATAAATTAATTCAGTATTTGCTAAATTTTAACCAAGGCTTTGGTATGCTAATACACAACAAAATTGACATTCTAAAGCCTTAAAATAGCTTTAACTTGTAAAATTTGTCTACTGTTAAGGTTAATTTAAGTT